TCTCTCTCTCTCTCTCTCTCTCTCTCTCTCTCTCTCTCTCTCTCTCTCTTTCTCTCACTCTCACTCTCTCACTCTCTCTCTGAATTATTTGCTGACAGAATACACATAAATTCATGTCCTAAATTAAGTTTGTGAATTATTTAGTGTTCTATTTATCTACTTTCCTACCTCTCATTACCAGCAATTGTTAGGTCTTTATGATCATAGCACTTCAGACATTCATCTTGATCTTGAAACTTGCAAAGAAAATTTACTGAATCAATTACACAGTTAATGAGGCAATAGGGAAAAAATACCATCTTCTACAAAGGAGCTTGTATTTTCTTTGCATATATGGTAAAAATTTGATAAACCACTGTAGAGCTTCAAAGTTATCCTTAGATTATTCTCTATGTAAAGAAAGATAATTTATTTAAAATAAATCACATAGAACTCAAAAGAAGAGAAAGCAAAAATGATTAGTTACTGAATTAGAAAATCTAAAGTATGTCTTTCTATAATGAGCAGAATTTACATGAAAGAAAAACCTTCTAAACAGTGACAATATGACCTTTAACAAATTGTTTTTTCTTGGAAATAAAGCAATTATTTTTACTAAAACAAACAAAATCATAGCTATGTAGTAAACTGACATATGAAGTCCAAAAAACGTTAAATAATATTAAACTCAATCTGTGTCTCTTTTATTCTATAAATGTCAACATGTAGTTTATAATGTTTATAATAAAAATTTTAAGAATTTTTTTCTGAAACATGTTCTAATTTCTTCTTTTATGGTCCAAACGGAAGAAAGTCTTTTGCAAATAAACAGAAAAAAAAATTAAATATGGAATAAAAGTTAAAAGTTTTGTGCTAAGAAAGTCTAAAATGACAGATCAAAACAAATGTGATTGAGAAAACAACTAGCTATCATCTAGCAAGTGTCCTATCAGAAAATAATAATTCATTTTTTATATTTTTATTGAAACATAATTATACATGTTTGTGGGGTACAGAGTTGACTATCAGTATTTGTGTACAATATGTGATAATCAAATCAGGATAATCAGCATATTCATTATTGCAAAACATAACCATTCTTTGTATAGATTAACCAGTTTCTCTCTAACCTCCTCTCCTTCCCCCTTTCCACCTCCANCTTAAAAACTCAACAATTTTATGTACATTTATACACAGTGTAAATACTATTCACACTTCATTATACCTGTGATTGCATTCACCTGAGTTGGGTCCTATTGGTTTAGAAATTCTGGGGAATAAGAAGTGAGTTTGTCTGGTTATTTCTCAATATTAGAATTATTCATTCCCCGTATTAGAACTACTAATTGTCTGTACCATAACTTAGCATTTTCTAAAACTGTGGGCCAACAAATCAATATCTCATAATTAGAGTCTTTTTTAAAATCAAAAAGAATAGGCTAGAAAATGTTAGAGTGCATCACATATGGTAATAATAATTGGCGTTTGCTAAACTTTTGATTTCGTTTGACATACATATGTGCACACAGACACAAATAAACGGGGCCACAATGTAAAAAGTAGACTATAGTCAGAAAAGCTTGACAAAAACTTCTAATATTCATATGCAAAAGATTTAAATCTGGGATTTTGCATTTGTAGAAATTGAGTTTAAAGAAGGAGAAACCCAGCACATTGTTGAAATTGAAGTAATTTTCGATGGGGTAAGAGAAATGAGAGAGGCCTTCACTGTTCACCTAAAACCTGATGAAAATATGATAGCAGAAACGCAGGTGAGTAATACATATGTATATAAATTTATGGCCAGCATTTTATCCAAGAAAATGCATATATATAAGCAATGACGTCATGTACAATGAAGTAATGATACTTTGTACAAGC